CCCCAATAAATTAACATCATCAGAATATTCCAAAAGCTGATGTGTCCCAATCAATTGCAAACCCTCCTGCCTATCTTGGACTTTCCTGATGGCATATTCTAGCTCAAAAAAACAATTCATTATATCTTCAAAAAGCACCCAACAAAGCAGGTATAGAAACTAACAAAGAAAGAGTGACTTCGTTGGTGTGTGTCAGTAAGAATGGAGATCATACAAGTTGAAACCAAACCATTTTGCATTGGTAACGCTTGAAGTCCCCGAAGTTTCACAGACATGAACATGAATTTTGAATCTGTGATCTACAAAGTCCCTGTGCTTGGATGACATGTGATATTTGTGCCTGCTGGTTTGAAAATGAGTTTGTGCCATCAGTAAGATGCCATCTGCATTCCAAGGAAAGACTTAAAAATTTGTTGCATGCAGTGTCGGATTAGCTTCGGGGGGAAAATTGTTCTAGCTACTTTTGCAAACTGCTGGAAATGGTTTATTGGAAAAGATGATGTCATTGCAGATGAAACAGTTCATTTCATTTTCAAAACAAGATGTGAAGGGTGTGTGTGATGCACTTGGTACTAATTTACAAACAGATGACCTGGCATCTTTGATTTAGGTAGATGAGGAAACTAGTTGCGCTGCATCCTAATGAGGATAATGTTGCAGCGTTTGTGAAAAGTGGGAATGAAACGAGCAAGCTTGTAACTATTGGTACAAAAAGTGACTCAGAAGATAATTGTGATGATCCTAAGATTTGGTTAGGTTGGGTTAAGTTATGTTAAGTTGGGTTGTGTTGGGTTTGGTTCTGTGAAGTTGTGGTACCAACTAACTAACTAGATGGCTTACCGAACCCGTTACCATCACCGAATTAACCAAAGCCCTGTCCTGGGCCAACAAAATCCAGTCTCCTTTGACTCCTATCTCCCATAGATCCCGCCTGACATTATCCTCCCATCTACGTCTAGGTCTCCCCAGGGGTCTCTTCCCCTCAGGCTTCCCAAATAGTGGACCCAACCAACCAGATGGCTTACGGAACCCGAAGGTTCATCACCGAATTAACCAAAGCCCTCCACCGGACCCTGTCCTGGGCCAACAAAATCCAGTCTCCTTCAACTCCTATCTCCCATAGATACCGCCTGAGATTGTCCTCCCATCTACGTCTAGGTCTCTCCAGAGGTCTCTTCCCCCCAGGCTTCCCGACCAATACCCGGTGCACACCTCTTGTCCCATCCATGCACCCTACATGCCCCGCCTTAGTTAATTTTTTCGTGCTACCAAAATTAAGCAAAGTGCTAGAAAGTGTTAATGAGGTGATGTCATCATTAGGACAACAGGCTGATAGTGAACACGTTTATTTGCTGCATCTGGTAAATATTATACAACGTGTACAGAAAAGAAAAACCGTCATCGGTACCAACAAACTACATTACCGACTTTTCTTGTAAGGAGGTATAAATGTAATTCCAGTGGTGTGTGCCAGTATTATTTGTCCAAAATATATTTTAAATATCATGTATTTTAATCTGCATGAATATACAGAATATCAGGAATTCCAAAATTAGATAAATGTCAGTTTCGCTTGTAACACGAGTACTGAAGCTGTTCCCTGAAACCCGTGTTGTTGCCTGCTGTACGAGAGTACTTTTGTTGCTGTATTTTAAAATTATGAAAACTTCCACAGATAACATTTAAGGGAAGGATATAATTGTTTATTAGTGGTCATTGAAATTCAGTAAACAGAATTACTTTATTTTCAGGTGCATGGAACAAAGCAGCTTGGAGTGAAGGACTGCTTAAAACACATGCTACAGGAAGGTGGTATTTGGAGTCTGTGGAGAGGAAATGGAATAAATGTAATGAAAATTGCTCCAGAATCTGCTATAAAGTTCATGGCTTATGAGCAGGCTAAGAAGATAATCAGAGGAAATAATACAAGGGAAGTGACGATCTATGAACGTTTTGTAGCTGGATCTCTTGCCGGTGGGATAAGCCAGACTATAATTTATCCTCTTGAGGTTTGTAACATTTATGGAGTTAAATTATTTGCTACAATAAGAATCATTCCAGAAATTAGTTTTTTTCTGCAAGTGAATCTTTAAAATGGGCTATGATGGCTTTTATCCAACCGACTGATGTAATCACGTCCTTTAAAATTACTCCAGTCGGCAGCAATCATCAGAAAAGTAGGAGTAACCCAATGGACATTCAAAACAATCATTTACTTTGCTTGCTTTGTGACGGTTTTTATGAACAGTTTCAGATTTGAAGATTTGGTGTTGTACATGGTATTTATAATACGGTGGAACCTCTTTTCGTTGGGGGGAGGGGGGAGCCATAGGTCGGATAAGCCGATAAGTCAGATGAGCTAGGGGAAGGGGAACATGGTCATAGATATGAAAAAATAACCAGAAGACAAAGATGATTTTCCTCAGCAGATGTGGGCGTTTCGCACGCACAAGCCGACGGCAAAAGAGTCACTCGTGAGCGCTGTTTGAGGAAGTCTCTGTATTCAAATAGTGAATTTATCAGTCATTCTGAGTCGCTGTCCACGTGAAGTGGAGGTTCTGGTGTGATTCTGCTGACGTCAGTTGATGTGCTTGCTATGTTGTCCTGAACAAGGATTAGGGGTTCAGCTTGAAGAAGCTACGTATTTTCAACTAGCTTGTTTCTCGTCTTTGTCTAACAAATTCTCTAAATGTCCTGAAGTGTTCATGATAATCAGCAAAACTTGGGTCTGAGGTTAGATCAATGAGCTGTATTATACCATCAACATATTCCCTCACAGCTGATAATTTTCCGGTTTTGTTTTTCATTTCTTCGTAATCATCAGCTTGAGTAGCAGAAATAATCTCCACGCGTGGGTCTCGCTTTACTGACTATCGCCGGTAGAAACTGATCTGGATGAAATTCGGTCGTTTAATGCGGGAGTTGGATAAATGAGGGTTGTTTAACAGAGGTTTTATTGTAGTTTTATATGTTAGTTAACTTTTATATTTTAATAACGCTTGCTTAGAAATAAGTATAATTACTTAGGAAAAGTAATAGAGGACTGTGTAGGATTTGAGGTTTTCACAGGATATTTTATTGTTGAAACAATTACATAATGTATGCAACATAGTGGTGAAGACCTGAAGATGGGCAAAAAGCCCAAATCATGTCACAGTGAATTACATGTAAGATGTGAAGATCAGTGTTGTGTAAAGATGACAGCAATAAACACACAAGTTTTAGTCTACAATCTGATACTCCAGTATAACCTGAAGATCAGTGTTGTGTAAAGATGACAGTAATAAACATACAAGTTTTAGTCAACAATCTGATACTCCAGTATAACCGTACACTCAGTAGATGCTGATATTTTACATAAATTGATTTTTATTTTGTTACATCCTGTCCATTCCTTTATTTTTCAGGTCATGAAGACAAGGTTAGCGCTGCGAAAAACTGGTGAATTTAATAGTATTGTTGATGCTGCTAAGAAAATGTACAGAAAAGGGGGTTGGCAGACGTTTTATCGTGGTTATGTCCCCAACCTCTTGGGCATCATTCCGTATGCTGGAATAGATCTCGCTGTTTATGAGGTAAGCTTTCGTAGCTGTGTCTAACATTGAAAGATTGAATTATATTCTAGATGCAGTGGCGCAATGCAATATCAGTGAGAACAGAAAAATGCTCATCCTTGTGTCGCCTCTTCCACAAATTGATAACGGTGATGATTTGCAAGACACTAAAATATCGCTACTATTCCGTTGTTTGTAGTCAAGTTATTGGTGTTACATCAAAGAGCAAGACAAATTATGTAGATAGAAAGAAAATGACAGTTGGTCTCTGTGCCCCATCGGAGAACATCATGAGACTTCCCTCATTGGTTAAAATTTAGAAGGGAAAAAGAACCAGGTGTACAAAACCTGTGTGGATGAACTACATTACCACTTACGTGAATGCAAGGGCGTTCTCCTAGGCTGGAGAGGTACGGATGGTGGGTTATTGATATGTCTATGGATCACCCGCCATAAACTGCTTAATAAGCAAGAATTTAAATTCACGCACTGCAATGAGTTGTAGAACAAAATTGACAGTTAATCGTAATTGCTCATTTCTACAAAGGTGCTTAACAGAAGCCCTCGTGTTACGTATTTTCTAGTTGACAGTGTCTGTTATTAAGTCCTACCGAAAGTAAAACGATGATGATAACAATATAATGTACACAGTTGCATTAATAAAAATTTTCGGGCACAAGTAGGATTCAGTCCTGTGACCATCTGCACGTTGCCTAACTCACTAAACTTTGAGTTAAATAGCATTTTGTAGTTGGATTATAAACTTACGTTACTGGAATATAACATCAGCTGGCTGCAGGAGGGGAATGCATTCCTTGAACCATGGTAACCTCCTACTGTACCAGATGGTGTCATGTCGTAGTCTGAAGACTAGTTGACGTAGGATTTATGATGTCTCCTTCAGACTCCTTGTTTATTTCTTTTGCTTACAAGGGGAAAGACAAGCAAGTATGTACAAAGTTCATGGTAGTTTAGTTGTACTTGAAGTACTGAAATTGCAAAAGAACTGACCCGCTCGTGAAATGTTATAGAGAGATACAATGAAGGTTTCATTTAACGCTGTTCTCATGATGATGTGGTCCTTGAGCATAACTTTGGGCTTCTAGGTTGTAAATACTTGATTTATGAATATAACAACATTTTTATTTGTGAAATAAATTAAACTCAGTGATACTGATTCTGCTCCATCATTTTCTGCTTCTGCTTTCTCCTTCTTCTTCTTCTTCTTCTTCTATGGCTCTCCGGTCCGTATTCGGTCCTATCCTCTGCTGCCTTCTTCCAATTTCTAATCCTCAGGAGCAGTGTGGCATCCGTTTGAACTGCATCCTCCCATCTGTTCCTGGGTCTTCCAAATGGTCTTCTTCCTCCAACATTCTGCTTTCTCCTAGGATTCTTTATTTGTTTCTTTGTTATCCTTCATTCCTGTTCTTGAAGTTGGCATAATTTTGTGAATAAAATGTAGTTTATGCTGTTCCATGTTTATGTAACAAAGGAAAAAATGTTTGTTTGTTGTCTAGACTACCAAGAATTCGTATTTGAGACAGCACAGTGGTGAACCTCCAAGTGTCCTGTTGCTGCTAGCTTGTGGAACAGCATCAAGTACTTGTGGCCAAGTCTGCAGCTATCCATTGGCTCTCGTAAGAACAAGACTACAAGCCCAAGGTACTTGCAGATTTAGTAAAATTCTGGTACAGTATTTGTATTGATTTATATTTGGTGCGTAAATGAAATACGTGCGTTGTTTGTTAAGAAATACTGTTGTAGAAGTCTTGATTTTGTTTAATGTTGTAGAATTTCATGTTACATATATGCAGATTAGAAATATAGGATGACAGGTTCATAGAATTGTACTTCACTCTCACATAATGATCTTATCCATAAAGCAGATCAATCTTATGTTAGTGAAATAGAAAATAAAATCTAATTCAAATTAGTGTGGACAGTCGCATCATTTTTGTCAGTAGATACAGGGAGATAAAGAAAGACTTTTGTTTTATCAGTGTGCGTACTGAGAAATGAAACAGTATAGAAGTACTAATGGTATAGGCTCAAATAACTATACACCTAAAGAAAACCATGGAAGTCTTTTCAGTTATAATTTGCATACTACTTCTTCTTCTATGGCTCTCCGGTCCGTATTCGGTCCACGGCCTCCTCAATTCTCCTCTTCCATTCGGTCCTCTGTTAGGTCCGTCTGTCCGAGGCTCTGATCGAGGTTTCGAAACATCTTCCTTTTTACGGCGCAAGGTTGTTAGCCTTGCGACCAACCCACAACCTGGAGGACCAGGGTACCTGTCTTAGTCTGACCTAAAATATTACAGCTTCCTCTTGTATTTTGCAGTAGTCACAAGCGTCGGACAACCCCAGGAAATGTGTAGTATGATGGGAACCATACGAAACATCATTCAAAGGGACGGTCCATTGGGCCTATATCGAGGAATCACCCCAAATTTTCTAAAGGTGGCGCCTGCTGTCAGTATCAGCTATGTGGTTTACGAAAGATGCCGTCAGACTTTGGGTGTGAATATGACATGATGGTGGGGTCCCTCTAGTAGAGGTTTGCCTCCAAACACGGCCAGCTGCCCAGCGGGACAGAGGTGTGTCTTTTGTGCCGCTTGCTATTTATTCAACATAAAGAAGAAAGATGAGTGGAACTTGGGACTGTTACACATAAAATTCAATAAGAAACATAATATATTCCATTACACAATGTTACTAACTTTATGGACTTACGTGATTTTTCTCGAGGAGCATGAAAGTGTTAGGAAGAGCTGTATTTTTACATTTCTTGGTTTAAGATTATTGTTAACTCTTTTCAGGATGGACTAGAATTCAGTACATCTGTAATGCTACATAGTGCTTGATATGCTTGTTACATTGAATATTGCTGCAGAAGTTGTGCTTTTCTCTTTCTGTAATGCATGTTTACTTAATGTCTTCATTTGCTTTTGTAACAGCCTTCAGTGTAATGGATGACACAGATTTATTATGTTAGTAAAATTTAAATTGAAAACCTTCCGTTACAAATCCTAGTAAATAATCATAATGAAAATAATGAAGAAACAGCAGTTAGAACCTGCTGTCACCTACCTATGGAGAGAAGCTCTATTCAACAAAGTTTGCAAGCTGTACTGTATTGTAATTTTCGAAAGGCGGCGTTAAAAGCTGTTAACGAGATAAATGTTTACCAATAGAAAACTATTGTGTAAGATGATAATGTTTATGTAATCAATCACTGAATTCTTTTTTTAAAAAAACTACAGTGAGTATTTACAATAAATAACCTTGCAGTATTGTAATGGAAATGCCATTTCTACAATAAACAATACTTTCCAAGGAGGTGGTGATGTGAAATAAATGTGAACAAAAATAATACGAAAATTGTGATTTTTTTATTTGATGTGTCTCCCTCCCCCCTTCCATTTTCAAATTATTCACACCATCCTTACAGTGATCAGTCATCTTTTACATCAGTTCCTTGCATCCTTGGTTTATGTTGTATAAGACACTGGACCATCCAATACTGTGTATGTTAAGTAATATTAAACATTCTAAAGTAATTAATCTGGAATTTGCCATGAAATGTGTGAATTTCATGTAGTTTGTCACCATATTTTTCATTGCGTTATACAGAAATATTCTATTCTTTTCCTTATATGGAGGATTATCTTACTTTTGCAATTCAAATTTCTCTCCAAATGCTTGACAAATATGTATGGTCAGTTTGATATAAAAACATTTACAGTGTTGGAAGATCCTGTATGTTCAAATGTCAGACCTGAAGATGACTTTTGTTTTTGTTTTGGGTAAGGTCCGAATTTCATAAATTGTGTTTTGGTTGTGACATTCCCAGAATGTGTAACAGCTATATTTTTTATGAACTGATGGTTGTCACATTTTAAGTATTCTTGCTCAAATAGGTGTTGTGCGTTGGTGTTTCTGCTCTTCAAAACTGGTTATAACTCCCCTTTGGAATGCTCTCGAGGATGGTCTTGTGTCCCAGAGGACCATCCAATTCTGAAAACCTGTGGCCCTTCAAAGTGGTCTTCAGTTTTGGTCATATACTTTCAGACTCAGAAAACGGCGAGTTTTTCTGCAATGCCAGGGTTTAAAAATTTTGTTGTACCAGACTACACGGCGCAACAACCCAGAAGACAGCAATCTTCGATGTGTGGTAGTTTTTGGGGATGGATACGAAATAATTGTGTAGCGTAGGATTTGCTGCAGTTAACCATTTTATTGACTGAGTAGTGTTAGCATCACTTCGCTGACATCCGTTTCTTCCTACGGGACAGATGGCAGCACAGTAGACATAACCTCGTACTTTCCGAGCACAACATCGAATATGTTGTAATTCGTGGAGGTGACGAGTTGTGACTTGTTATGAGTTGTGAGGGTGCTGTAGGTAGTAAATGTCATTCGAGGAATATTAACTGGACGATTAAATTGTAGAAATAATAACGAGAATTATTCGTAGAATGTCGACAAATAGAGTAGTAACTGTTGTGCAGGATGAGGATAACGTAATTGCAGAAGTTTGTAACTTGATCCAAAGTATATCTAAGAAAGCAATCGAAAGAGATGATGTATTCAAAATTGGACTATCAGGTTATTACCGTCTTATATAGAATTCATTAAATAATTTGGATTGCATATGAGTAGTAAGATACCGTTTTAAGTAATAATTATAACATATATCCTGTTCTTAGGTGGATCACTCACAAAGTTTTTATCCATTGGATTACCGAAAATTGATACCGATTGGTCAAAATGGAGATTGTTCTTTTGTGATGAAAGAGTTGTTCCGTTAGAGAGTGCAGATTCAACGTACGGAATCTACAAGAATGCGTTACTAGGAGTTTTACCATTAACTGAACACCAGTTTGTGAAGATTGATCCCCATTTACCAGGTAGGACAGTACACTTAAATTGGCATTTCTCTCATATTACGATATTTTGTACAATTTTGCTTGTTATTTATATGAAGTATGAGTGTGAAACGTCTCTCAGACTCAAGGTGATGAGAACAGCATGCTTAAGTGAATAATATATGTATATTGACCATGAAGTGACAGGAGGGTGAAAAGCTTGCATGGTGAGGAGCTCCATAATCATCATCCTAACAAATTATGAGTTGTTAGAATGATGAAATCAATGAGGATCAGATGGTAGGGAATTTAACATGCTTGAATGAGATGAGAAATGTGTACAGGATTATAGTTCGAAAGCCTGGAGGGAAGAGACTAGGAATAGATGGATGGATCTTAGAGAATTAGTGATGGATGATATGGATTGAAGTCTTCTAGCCTAAGATAGGGGCTGGTGGTAGACTCTTGTTTACATGGTAACAAATCTGGTTTCATTAAAGGCAGGGAATTTATTGACTATTTGTACATACTGTTTGTATCTCTGGAAGGACTGTAATTCATTTAGTTGGTTGGTTACTGTGTCATTGATGTCTTAATTTTGCATTCATACTGTATAAAAGATCTAGTGTTATGTTAGTTATTAAATTATGTTTCCACTCTCATGTTGATTTTTTGTATTCTAAGGCACTGGGAACATTAGGGCTTATTTGTTATATTACATATAATTTATCTGCTTTTGATAGTCTTGTTGTTTTATGAAATTCCTTAATTAGGCCTAAGCTAGAACAAGCTTCTGTCACATGGAATAATCCTACAATGACTGACTCCAGTAAAATAGAAAATATAAAAAAAACAAATTCACCGTTTTGTGATACAATTTTTTTTAGTTTGAAATTTTACACAATCATGATTTAATGTTAAGTTTTTAAATTTTAGAACACTTCATTCCAGATGATGACGTCTTGATGGTTTATATTTTACTAATGTTTTCAAGAATAATATCATTTGTCATTCTGTCCTGGACAGTTTTGGTAGTATTTGTATGCCTACAAGGAAATTGGGAGAACTTTCTCCTTTCTGCATGAGCAGTGCATTAAGGCAGGCCTGCAGATAGATGTGCTGTTGCTACAGATAACATGTGCAAGTTTTTGGCAAAAACATTGTCCCATTTGAGGACACGTACTCAATATGAGATAGTTTTGATCAGTTATATGTATTTAGTTTAATTTTGTTTTTGCTTGTTTTTTTATTATTTTCTGTTCTTTATATTTGTCTTTTTGTGCTGACCCTGCGATTGGCTCTTGCAGGTGTTGAGTTAGACTGTTAAAATAAATAATTGAATTATCAGTATTACTTGAGCACATTTTTATTACCTTCAAGTTATAAAACCGTCACTCAATAAAATTATTGATAATGACTTTGCTGCATCTGGTGGTATTTTCAGAATATAAAGGAAAGTTAATATGTTCTAATTACTTCTGTAAAAATTACATTTACCTGCAATGGGGTTGACGTTTTACCTGAAAAATATAATATTAATTTATTGCTGATATGTTAGGCATCAAATATTTAACTTTTTGGATATTATCCATCGTCTAGTAAATATAGAACGTAAAACGACGTTTCGGAGATGGGACTCTATCTCCGTCTTCAGGTTCCTACACAGTTGGGCCCACTAGATAGAGCTAATCCCTATCTCCGGACTTTTTCCTTGGATATTATCCATCGTCTAGTAAATATAGAACGTAAAACGACGTTTCGGAGATGGGATCCCGATCTCTGGAGATAGGGATTAGCTCTATCTAGTGGGCCCAACTGTGTAGGAACCTGAAGATGGAGATAGAGTCCCATCTCCGAAACGTCGTTTTACGTTTTATATTTACTTGACGATGGATAATATCCAAGGAAGGTCCGGAGATAGGGATTAGCTCTATCTAGTGGGCCCAACTGTGTAGGAACCTGAAGACGGAGATAGAGTCCCATCTCCGAAACGTCGTTTTACGTTTTATATGGTCCGGAGATAGGGATTAGCTCTATCTAGTGGGCCCAACTGTGTAGGAACCTGAAGACGGAGATAGAGTCCCATCTCCGAAACGTCGTTTTACGTTTTATATTTACTAGACGATGGATAATATCCAAGAAAATTTTTATTCAATTGACTCTTCACCATCGTCAAGAAGTTTTAGATTTGATATACAAACAATGAATGTTTTAAGGAGGTTGGAAGTTCCAGTTTGTATTATTTTTATACTAATGCTGCAGTTGCTAACACCGTATTCTTAACACAGCTGAAGAAGCAGCCAAAGATTACATTCAGAAAATGGCTGTTCACTTTCCACCTGATTCACTTCCACGGTTTCATCTTTTACTGCTGGGAATGGGTCCAGATGGACACACATGTTCCCTCTTCCCAGGACATCGTGTTTGTGAAGAGACGTCTGTGTGGGTTGCACCCATTACTAATGCCCCTAAACCACCACCGTCAAGAATCACATTCACCTTTCCAGTGGTTAACAATGCAGAAAACTGTGTGTTTGCTGTTACTGGAGCAACAAAAGCTGAAATAGTCAAGGTATTACGTTTTATTCAAATCTGAAAAACCTTTTTAATGAGTTTGCTTCTTGGTTGTATATGTTGACATCCCCTGACATAGTATTAATACTAACAAATCTGATTTGTGACCACAGTGAAGGGTTCACAGAGTCCTCTTGTTGGCTGTTTTCTTGTAGTATTATGCTTTTGGTCATGTACTGTGCCATTTGTCTTTTGAACTAGGACACAAGGGATTATAATAGAGTTGGTTATATTAATGTTAATTAAGATAACAAGATAGGTTGATCATAGAAAAAACTGAAAGATGACATATTCAATTGTGAAGAGTTTAAACTTAATAACCTAGCAGCCTTAGCTCAGTCAGTATATTGACTGGCTATGGACTGGACGACCGGGGTTCGATCCCCGATGGGGGCAGTGGATTTTTTCTCTAGACTCTGCGTCCAGACCGGCTCTGGGGACCACCCAGCCTCCTATCAAATGGGTACTGGGGGTCCTTTCCCTGGGGTAAAGTGCAGCCAGGGCGTAATGCTGACCACTCACCCTCATCTGGTGCTGAGGTCAAGAATGAGTAGGAGCTATACTGCCTCTCCTCCCAAGCGCCTACATGGCGCATAGTGGGACAGCTTTACTTTACTTACCTAGCAGTAACCCTCCTTGAATGTGTAATATATAATACTTTTTAATTTTTTGTAGCAGTATATGCATGCGCCTTGCTCTGCATTTAAACATGCTCATAATCATTCATGATGATCTGCACTCTGAATGTTTGTCAGGATCACCCACAGAGGAATCAGTTGTTTGTTTTCGTGAATGTTTCTCAGACATGATTTATGTAATCTCTCATACAGTATATGCCATATGATTTTGTGTCAGAATTTGGAAATTAAGTGAGTTTCTGTAAGATCTGTGTTCTTGGTTGTCCGTGGGATGAAAGAAACATCAACTCATTATCCACGGAACTCGCCAACCATGTGCCACATGATGAAAGCTTACCGCATGGCTTTATGACATGCAACATGGCTTAGGTGTATGACTTAGATTTAAAACTCATTACACCTCAACCAAAGAAAGCAAGACAGGTGCTTGAAAATTTGAAGATTATGATGTTCTCCTCCCTTCCTCTAGTCATTGAAGATACTGTGTTCTGTTTGAGTTTATTCTATAAGATCAAATGGTGAATTAAGGTTTGTGTGGCTGTTCTGAAACTTGTAGACGCAGTTCAAAAAAAGAGCAGCCTCAAATATGGGAGTTATATTTGAAGTCATTCTCTATTCAGCAGTATTTTCTGTATAAGAATTTTTTGAAGCACAACCTCTGTATGCTTCCCTGTGCATGGTATGTACCAGATTTGGCACATAGCAACACTTTCTAATTCCTGAACTTAAATGTACCTGTAAAGGAGATATATAATATTCCAGGAAGTGCTGAACAACATTCAGAAAAGACAGTGGGACTTGAAAGATGGTTACTGAGGGTGATCGAACAAGTGGTGGGACTGTTGAACACAATGTGTTTTACCACGAGACTGCCATAAGATTTAAATAAAGTTGATAACATGAGGATGTAGCTGTCAGATCTTTTAACTTCACAGAAATGACTGAAATGGCTGTAACATATAAAATTTGGTTTAATTTTGTTACTCTATGTGCAAATGTTCTGTAATATCTGCAGAACAAAATATTTGAATGTGATTTAAATTTCCTTTGTAGTCGAGCTGGTGTGGGAGCTCATGAAGCACTCAGAACAGTGGTCAGTATCCCATCTAGCACATAACACCTAAAGCATGAAATAAATTTCATCCACTCTTACTTGTTGTAAAGGCTGCAATGAAAATCTCATGAACACATGAATTGTTTTTTCCCCCCCAAAACTCTTTATTTGCAAAGTAGTTCGCACATTTCTGAGATGTTTGTGAATAATTTGCATTTCCTTTAATTTTTCATGTCTTCACAGTCAAAATGTCTGTCACTGACATCACTCTTCATCCTTTAATCATAATCATCATCATCTTTCACTAACGCATCATGTCCATATATCTTCCTTTCACAAGCACATGCACGCAGACACACCAGGACTTGCCTGACACATGGATGTTTGTCACATGGTGAACTAGCACCATTTATGTAGACAGTGGCACAGCCCCTGCTGTTTTACATATTCTGGTGGATTGTCCGTGATTTGATGATGATCATCTCACATATCATTTTCGCATTGTGTGATATACTGCGGCAGTTCTTCTGGCCATCCAGGTCTGTTTCATTGAGGGTATTTTGTATCATCGTAATGATCTAATCACCCACGCATCTTCTACCAGGGGACAGATATCCTTGGTCTAGCTTCACTGGCCTTTTTACAATCTGTATCACTGAATATTGTAGTCGAGTGGTGAGCACTCTGTTTCGTATTGGGGATGTCCTGGGTGTAAATCTCAGCCCAGAGACCAGCTATCCTGACTGATTTTTTCGTGATTTTCCTCTGTACCTCCAGGAAAATGCTGGCTTAGGACCTTAAATTATGCCATTGGTTCTTCTGTCCACAGCCTTTCCAATTCAGTATTCACTATTATCCTGTCATTTGATGCTGTATGGCCTGAACTACTGAAAAATGTCATTAAATAAATAAATATTATAAACATTTTTAAGTTTTGTCCCCCATGACACTTCTTGCCCCCTTCTGCAGCATGGAATTTAATTTTTTGTGTGTAAAATCCTTGTTTATTAATTTTTATTTTAGCCTTGGTGTCACTGTAAGGTTGTCTCTACAGCCTGCCTTACGTTGATTGTATTTCTTACAATTCTAGTGAGTCAGCAGGGTAGGGTGTTCGGATGGTCATTTGATAGATAACATTGTCCTGATGTCTGTAAGAATAGAAGTTTTGTGGTCAACTTAAGAGAACCATGAAAGTATATTAACACTATTTCTTTTACTGAATTCATTTGTATGAAAGTATGAGTGAGCAAACTGTCGTTTGTTTTATTGCATTGTTTTCATTCTCTGAATGATGATAATATTTTAATGTGAATCTGTGAGGATAGTGTTTGTCATGGAATGTGAATTAATTTAAAGATGTCCAAGATTAGTTTAGTAAAATCATGTAATCAGCTAGATAACCCAAATGAATGTTTGATATGTTTTTATTACTGTGTTAATATATAGGATATCAGCTGATTGGATTCAGTCAATTACAGACTCTCTCCAGATATTCTCTAAGGAATATGGATGTACTTATGAATTGTTCCATAGTAGCAGCATTGCTTCCTAAATATGCCTGAGTTAAGTCACCTTTTGTTGGGACAAATCTTGTAAACTATGTACTTGTGTTTAAATAATTTTATTCTGAGTTGTATTCATATTTTAAAGTAAGAAAATACTTTCCAGTCATTCTTTGAAAAACCAGCATGCCCAGTGAACTGTAAGTTTTAAGATTGTGATGAAATTTGGCATACATATTGGTCCCATTGCCAGCCATTTTGTCAACTGGTGAGGTTTACAGTACTGTACTATGTAAAACCTGAAAATATGTAGAACTTTTATACAAAATTAATTACAGCTTCCAAAGTTCTTGTGGTCCCAGAATTATTTTTGCAAACTTTGAGAGGGTTGTGTGTGTCTTACACTTCTGATAAGTTTCCGACAAACCCCAGATGCTTCTTTTCTGCAATTAATTTTCAAGGTATATAATATGTGACCACTTAAAACTACGTAACCTTACAAGTTTTGAGGTATATTCGTATCTGGCTAGAAAGAATATCTTTTAAGGTTCACAACGAGCTCTAGAATGTTTCCCTAAGTGCATTATCAAAGGAGTTATTTAAGAAAAACCCTCACTTACATATATTTTCTACCCCATTTGGAGTGATTTTTAACACTGTATTTCAAAAATCACATTACAGAAATAAAAAAGGTGTTTGGCTATGAGGCTATTATGCATGCCAAATTTCATCACAATCTGAGATGGTGCAGTGTAGGTGTTAATGTATGCCAGATCAGTGAAATTGTGCCCAAGTGCTCTAATCTGAAACTTTGCCATTTAGACCTATTATACATTACCGAAACTACTGAATCGAAACATGCTGGATCAAATCATTTGTACAATCTGTGTAACTCAGTTGCCCCTTTGGTACAACTACAACACCACTACTAATATTTAAAATTGCTTGAATTTAGATGATCTTGTGAATACTGTAATGTAACAAATTTCCAACCAGCAGTTGCAATAAGTTAGCTGAAAATATTGACTCCAGTTGCATTATTAAAATCTATAATCATTCACCATTTGTAAGAGGTTTGTGAAGTTACAGTGATATAAGTAAAAAATTATGTAGTACTTACAAGTTAGTTGCAGAAAGTATTGATTGACAGGGCTGAAAGCTATAGTTGCCAGAGGCTACTGGAAGATTTCATCTGACAGCAAATTTTCAAACCAGCTTTCAGAAACTGGCTTTTGAGATGGAGATGTAGATTCATTAAATGAGGATTACCTGGTATCTGAATCCTTTCATTTTGCATCATCAGACTAACCCAACATTCCAGATTTGAGTGCTGTAAACCCTTGATAATGTTATGATTTTCTTTATGCCCAAAATATTTGTCTGCCTAGCAGATTTTAAACAGCTTTCTGAGCCTTATTGATTGATACATATCAAAGAAAATTATGGGATAGTTGGAAGAAAGCAGTTTTGTTAAGAGAAGTTTAATCTTCATTTCAGCGCGTACTGAAAGATAACGAGCCACTGCCAGCTGGGAGAGTGAAGCCAACGGATGGAACGCTTCATTGGCTGCTGGATTCAGAAGCTGGCGTACATGTAAAGGATGTGCAATAACTACAGTCACAACATATTTTGGGATACTTATAAGACATGCATTTAAGATTTCTAAGGAATGATCTCTTTTCAATAATGATTACTGTTTTGTGAATATCACTAAAGTTTGAAGAGTGTCATTTAGAAATCTTGATGTTGGTATTGGTCTGGGGAAGAAACCTTTTTAGAATTGGGAATAATATATGCAGCCTAATTTTGTTTGGTAAATGTTAATGTAGGGCATGACAGTGGTTGTATTATTATATCGAGTCTAAACAAATCAGAACACAGAATCAGTTTTTATCTTTTTAACAGCATCTTGATACATTGTATAGGGCCCACTGAACTAGTTCTACTTCACATTCAGTATTGTAATTGCTACAATTTCAGCATGTGTACGAAACAGATGTATTCTCAAAGTATGAATCCTAAGCATCTGCCGATGTCAGAGGTGGTCTGATCCAAGTTTTCTGCAGTAGACTATTCTGCATGAACTGAATGATTTTGAACTGGTTTTTGTTTGATAGAAATATATGTCAATTACGTACTGTCTTGAATACTGCATCTGCAATGCAGTCATTTATACAGGCATTCTGGGAACTTTTTTTATTATATATATATATATATATTTATCGGGCACTTTGCAGAACATGGTCTCAAGTAGGATTTTACAAGTTTACATGCTATATGCATATTTTCCCCTGAATTATTATTTTTTATGCCTTTGTTATGTTGATAATCCATATGTTTTGTATATTTGAACTTGGTATTCCGTCTTGTTATAAAATTAGGGCAGTGAGCGATCGTAGCACACCTATGGTTACAAGCTTCTTGTAGGAAGAGGGCTCTAAATATGTTGTATTAGAATTACGAAGTGTTCAAGCTTTATTCAACAGACAATACCAATGCAAAAACATCGATTTTAATGTTTTTGTGTATGCATAGTCATTTTATGGTTCTGTTTTGGGGACAAATGTTCCCACTTCCATATCTTGAGAACACTGCAAGGATTGGTGCAGAAGTGTAGTACTTAAAAAAATGAGTATATTGTGACATAGGGACACTATGACAAATCAGTTTACAGAGTCTACACATACAGGCAACTCCCCAAATACAGTTTCTGTCTCTTCACTTGACACACACACACACACACACTGTCCGTCAAGACAATCTGGTCCCCGAACTTGATGCTTTTCACACACACACACAGCCCTCGGCCCGTAGCACCCCCACTGGACACACGCTGGCTCCTCAGCTGCCACGGTCCACGAACCCGGTGCTCCTCACATGGCAGCCGATCCTCTTCTCGCTCAGCGCCACACCAGACCACTCGATGCCTCTGCACTCTCTTCATACAATTTGTACTCTTCCACTAGAGACCCCACACAAGACTCTCACCAGACTCTTCTTCACTTGCCATCCAATATCAACTCGCCACTAACTATCCACACTCCACTCTCACAACTCACGGGAAGGCGACCTTTTATATTCGCTGGCCCAGCTGTGGAAGGTTCCAGGCAAGGATATCTGGAATTTTCGCTTTCTCGAAGGCTGTGAGGGGATTACGGTGTCTGGAACAGTCCGCGGCGGCCACTCCTACAGTCCGCATCCGCTAGCCGGGGAGGGGAGTTAGGCGGCCCCTCCCCTCCAGCGTGAGCCTTCGGCTCTTACAGTGCCACATCACAATATTTACACACACACCATATTCCTTGTCATTGAAAGTGCTTTATTTACTAAGTTATTAGTGAATAAATTATAGTGCAATAGCAATACATTTGTCAGTGTAATGCTTGTTGATACAGTTGCTATGATATTATACCACTCATATTTCTCGTGGACGTAAAATATTTTACATTGATGTGACTGTGATATCTTTCTTATTATGTGCATGATAAAAACCTTCTGTCTGTTCCAGTGAACCGTAAATTTAAGTCTGTTCATATGAAGCGGAAGTAGTTTAATGTTAAGAAATTAGTATATACATTCCGTTAGAAGGAAGTATTGTTACATGAATAGAATTTCCACAAAGATTTGGATCTCCCACTGAAATACCAAATATGTTAGAATATAATTAACTACATTATCAGCTTCAGTGCAGTGAGGATGAAACATGTCAGTAGGATTGACAATTATGTTCAGTATTGACCTCCATATTTGAAGCATTATGTAGTTAAAACCAAAGAATTGTGGTCTCTGTGCTAAGCTAAATTTGAACATACATAGCATATGGCAGTAATTTGCTTGATTATAAGGCACACTAAATATTTGTAACATTCTATACAATAAGCAGTTTGTACAAATAAATTATTGTATCATCACTACAATTTGTAATTAGTAATAATTTAATGTGATTCTGCATATGGGCAAATGCGTAGTTACATTTTAAGATAAATGGCTAGCAGTATGATACCTACTATATTTGCATTATCTACCAGCAGATTTTATTCACATTTATTATTTATTTTGACATACATTTTAACTCCACTGGATCATTATCAGTGTCTCAATTAGCAGTGCTATGTCAAAACAAATTGTAAATGCGAATAAATTTGTAAGTAGATAGTGAGTAAAATAATTGTGAGCTACATGGTATAAGAGAATGTAACGAACCATGGTACTTGTACCCAAAACAATATAAAGGAATTACAAGTAGGATTTTAGGTTCTCGTGGTGGTGTTAAGACGTCTGTATTTTGGGTTGTAGTGCCACCATGTAGACTGGCAGTTTTTAGAGGTATTTGCCGCCTACATCATTATCACCCTGATGATGGAGCAGCTAGTACCTCTGAAACATCAGTAAACTTCTACCAGACTACAACTCATGACAGCCATAGTCAAGGGAATTACAGTTTGTGAAACACATTTTCTTTAGCGTGCTTACTACAAGAGTTATTTTGTGTCAAGAACACATTTGAGTTATGTGAACATTCTAGACTGATAGAGTCAGAAGGTACACAACAGGATACATGGTTGTAATGAACAACTATTTTATTTTTAAAGCATAATTAAAATCTTCACCCAGAGATGAATACTATAGTGTTTTTTTGATGAATAATATTCGCAGTGCTAGACTAATCTGTCAAGAATATGGGAATCTTTATTTGAAAACATCTGAAGAACGTCATTCTACAGTCCTCTGTCCACAACAGATTACAGATTATACATTGAAATCCGTACATAAATTCTATATAACACAGCTTCTTTCTATAAACAAAAGCATTGTTCTCTACAAGACACATTCCATTAATATAGGCGAGAGTACATATGAAAGAATCTAAGGCAAACAACTTTAGTTTGTTAGAGTTACGCAATATAGCGGTGTTAATTTTGGTACTTTTGTAACATCAAATACCAAGTTATAACACAGGTGTTCATTACAGATTAGCCAACTGAAAATTCATGAAGTGCAGCATATCTCCCTGTAATGTAGTGATACAATTGTCTCTCAATATCTGCTAGGAGGCCAGAAGCTCCAATGCGAAATAGGTCAGGATACATCCAAGCTGTTCCAAGTTCTTCCTTCATCAGGATTAGCCAGTTAATAGCATCTTTTGATGTACGAATACCACCAGCTGGTTTGAAGCCAACCTAAAGTAAATAGAACTTTACATTATCTCAGAGCCTGAAGATGTCTGTCTTCTGGGTTGCTGATGACGGAGGCAGTATGACCTCTGAAACGTTGGTTAACATCGACCAGACTACACAGCGCAACAACCCAGAAGACGGAAATCTTCATACTCACCGCTGTGAGAACCTCAAGTCTTACATCTCAGAGCCTCTTGCATCAAATTCAGACGAATTAGAAATCATTCTGGAAACAACAGCCTGAACAGAAGTAAAGTACAAACACACAAATATAAACTACCCGGTGACCCAACTGCTACAGAAATAATATTAGGCCTCACAACAACCAACCTTGCCATGCCACAGTGGCACACAAATCGAGTACTGTTAACAGTCCCTTGCGGAGAATTGGAATAACCATATGGTCATAAGTTGCGATCAGATAGCTGGTCTATAAGGCACGATAAAAGGTTCATTATGAGTGAAAAAGAGAAGATATTTATAATTATGAACGTACGTGTGAAGTGCTAATGAATGAGCAAGTGAGTCATTGCCAGAAGCAGGGGGAGAGGAATTCAACAATGTCGTGGTTGTGTTGGTGGTGGTGATCACGACCAAGACTAATTCCCTGCCCTTGATTACCAAGACGACGAATACGGACACTACCATGACCGCGGGCACCGCCATGAACACTGCCACAACAGCAGTCATCGCCTCCGACACAACAAACATCCCTCCACAAAACTAAAAACATTTGAGAATTTTCAACTTCAAAAATTCTTTAAAATGTTTTTGGTTTTGTGCGATTTTTAGACAATTTCCAGCATTTTTTGTTTTTTCGAAAAATTTGAATTTTTTTCAAAATTCTCCCCATCCGAACATCACCAGACTACGTCCCGGCTTGTCCCTTTCCTGCCAGATCCACACTCTGCCACAGACGGACTGCAAGCCTTGGTCTCTGCATCACGCGCTCTTTGCCAGACGCACTGTCACCCGGTTTCTGCCGGTCTAGGTCTTTGCAGAGACGTCGTGTCAGAGATAGGGTCATACACAGACCGCATCATGCACAGAACGAGTCCGTCAGAGACGGGCTGTTTCAGAGACCGTGTCCGACAGACACTGGTTCAGACAGGTATCGCGTGTGGAGAATTTTGAAAGAAAATTTCAAAATTTTCAAAAAATCAAGAAATGTTGGAAATTGTCCAAAAAGTGCACAAACCTAAAAAATTGAGAATTATCAACTTCAAATGTTCTTTAGAAAACTTCAAATTTCTTTGGTTTTGTCCGCTTTTTACACAATTTCCAGTATTTTTTGATTTTTAGAAAATTTTGAACTTCTATTCAAAACTCTCCCCAAGAGATGAATGCCATCCTCGATGAATGCTTCACCCTGTCTCTGCCGGACTCGGCCTCTAACTCACCCGGTTGCTGGCTGCCTCGGGGTCT